CTAGTAGCATTTTTATTTTTGTTTGTCGTTCTTTTTTTTTCTAAAGCAAAAAAAAGTAAATTTTAGATCGTTAACAATGATTATACACGTTAACAATGAATTCATTCAAAAGTTCAACAAATTTGTAGGAGACGAGATGGTGGTTTTGTTGTTGAAGAGACTGAACATCGTAAGAAAGAAAATAAACAAAAAAAAAAATTAAAATTGTTAAGATCATGAAATTTTGGAGGCGATAATCACTTATTATTTACGTTAAAATTTGGAACAAATATAACTTCATAATGGCACGGAGTATCTGTATGTGTGTTACGCTGATAATTATCACCCCAACCTTTACCGACACTAATATTTAAAAAAAAAAGTGTATTTGTTGGTACTGTCCCTCCTCCACCTCGTCCATCTTTAGATCCTAGTCGAGTTGTCGCAGTTGCAGTTGTGGTTACAGTTGCAGTTGTTGTAGTTGTTGTTGCACTTGTGGTTGTCGTAACTGTTTTCGCCGTTGGTGACGGTAATGACGGTGGTGGTGGTGGTGGTAATGGTGCTGAATCTTGACCAATGCCACCACCAGTAGCAGTGGCAGCAGCTGCAGCACCGGTTGTTGCTGTTGTTGATGCCTTTACTGTTGCCATTGTGGTTGCAGGTGTTGTAGCATAAAATTTATGTACCTTATAACAGTATCCTGGTGATACACGTCTTACAGTTTCTGTTTTTTGTGACCCAAACGGCGATGCAGTTGAAAAAAATAATGGTTTCGTTCCACTAAAACAGTGAATAGCTTAGAACAGAATAAATTAACTGTAATACAGCAAACAAATACATATAACTGATTAAACATAACTTTGTTCAACATAAGAGCACTTTTAAGATACATTTCATTTTTTATTTTTATCATTCCCTTTTTTGTTCTAGTCTATTTATCTACACTTACAAGATATTTATGCTCCTAAATTGTGGTTGTATATAATTGGCGACATATGTTTATAACAACATCGTTTATTGTTTGCTATGCTTTTTGAGTAGGACCATTTGATAACTGTCTTTGTTTTGTCTAGTCAATTTATGATCCTCAAGTTTTTTTTTTTTTGACAATATACAATACGAAAACTATTTACAGCAACACAGATATATAAAACTTATTTCCCTTTTCTTTTCATCTTTTTTCATCTCTTTAATTCTCTCTCTAACTGCAAAAAAAAGTGATATAAATATTATGTTTAGCTGAATATTTAGTTTATAAAAAGAAAAAAAGAAGCTCATTCAACTACAGTTTATTGCAAAATCTGTTTCATGATTATAAACCAAAAGTTTAGTTGTTTTTTATGTTGATTTTCCTCCTGTTTTCTTTTTTTTCCGACATTAAAATACTACATTATTTTGCAACCTTAAACCAACATCAAAGTATTACTATCATATAAACTCTTGAAACTTATCTCAATGTTTCATCGTTCATTTGAATGAATGTTTAGTGACGCATTTAAAAACAGAACACATAAAAAACAATCAGTAAAAAAATAAAAAATTCCTCATAGCG